CCTCTTACCCTCCAACCCTGCCTAACAATACTGAGGCTCCCGCGGCTTCGCTTCCGCTAAATTACGTCAGTTTTACTACTTATACTCACTACTTTCATGGATTTCAATCAATTGCATTTTGTCTGTCAAGTGTGCGACTCTAATAAGATTTGCTTATGTTACGAATCTTTGTTTTCCTAATTATTATTACACTATTCAGGCGTACAGACACATGTACCCTACACTACCACAAGTCTTTATAATAACTACTGTCAAAGAAACAAGTAAGACATCAAAAAATTATGCAAAACCACTAGAAATAAAAACCATTCTATGAATATTAAAGCACAGGTTTACTATGGTATTAAATTGGTATCATCTGCTTTCAAGATAGATTCTTGATTTAGATTTTTTATTTTTTTTTAAAGAATGGTCATTTTTTGTGCGTCACATAACGCCTTCCTTATAGTGCCAGATGCGGTGCAACGCGGAGACCAACTTCAGGTGCCGTGGCTTCTCGCTGCGGCCGCCGGAGCCTGGGCGGGGCGCGGCCTGGCTGTGCGTGCTGCACGGCGACGACACCATCAGCGCGGGGCCCAGCGCGCTGTACCCGCTGCCGGGCGCGCTGTACGCCGAGCGCGCCGCGTGCATCGACCGTAAGCGCTGGCCAGCTGATCGCCACAGCCGCTGGCAGCCGCCCCTCCCTCCCTATGTCCTGCCCCACTGACCCCGGCTCCTCCCTGTGTCCTGCCCGCAGTGCGCGTGTCCTGCAGCCGGCGGCTCATGACGGTCACGCTGCAGTCGGCGGGGCCCTTCCAGGGCCGCCTGTTCGTCATGGGGCGGTCGGACTTCTGCGGCGCCGAGGGCCGCGGCTCCACCTCCACGTCGCTGACCCTGCCGTTGGACCCGGACCCGCCCCGACTACCCGGCCCCGGCGTCAACGACCGCTGCGGGCTGCGCCTGGCCAGAGCCTTCGGGGACACCAACCGCACCCTGGTGTCGGCCATCGTGGTGGTGCAGCGGAACCCCATCATCCAGACGAGGGGCGACCGCGCCGTGCGGGTGGGCTGCATCCTGGCGGGCGAGGAGAGCCCCCCGCAGAACCTGACCCTGGGCGCGTCCATCGCCGTCGCCAGCCCCGAGTGAGTAGCTCACAGCTGCGCAGCCGAACGGCCGCTGTCCTCATTTCTTGACCCTCACCCAACCCCTGCCCGCAGGGTGGACAACAACGGCACGGCCATCCTGAACGTGTCTTCGTCGGCGCCCACGGTGCGCCTGCGCATCACGGACCTGTCGGGCCAGGACCAGCCGCTGCACGAGACGCAGCTGGGGGACACGCTGCAGCTGCGCATCGACGTGACGCCAGACACGAGCCCGTGGGGGGTGCGCGCCACGCACCTGGTGGCTAGCTCCGCCGACGGCCAGGACTCGTACCTTCTGCTGGACTCGCGGGGCTGCCCGCCCGACCCGCACACCTTCCCCGGCCTCCGGCCCGTGGAGCCCGGCGCTCGCTCGCTGGCCGCCACCTTCAGAGCCTTCAAGTTCCCCTCGTCCGCCCTCGTCCGGTTCGGGCTCAAGGTGCACTTTTGCCGCGGCGGCTGCGCGCCCGTCAACTGCGGCGCGGGGATCGCGTCCTCGGGACGGCGCCGACGTGCCGGGTCCACGTCCACCTCCTCGCCCAGCACCGCAGCTGTACCCGAGGACATCGACTACCCCATGCAGCTGGCCATCGTGGTGCACACGCCCAAAGTGCTGGCCGCCAACGCGGGTGCCGCGGCGAGCGGTATCATCACCATTGACTCGGGTGGGTGGAGTGTCACTGCTGCTGGGTGTTTCACACCTTTCTCGTTCACGTTTTAAAATTCACGTTTTCTTCTCGGCTGGCCCTTAATTGTAGTGAGCCAATACGACGGGCGCGTCGAGGACATGGTGTGCATGACCGGCGGCACCCTCGTGGCGCTCGCCGCCGGCGCCCTGCTCCTACAAGCCGTCATTCTGGTGGTGTGCTGCGTGGGCGCGCGTCGGCACATCGCCAGCCACGACAAGCTGCTCCAGATGCAGGCCTACACCAACCCAGCGTGGTCGGCTGCCACCCCGGAGGACCGGCGAGTCACATGGGCTGACCAGTGACATTTGGTGAGTAAGTGATGGTTAGGAATGAGTTAGAAACGTGTCAGAGTCACTTAGTTAACAGTATTTATTTCATTGACTAATCATCGTTTTTGGTACCCAAACAAAACATTGTAACGCGTGGTGGTAACCTTTTTCATCCTTTTGAGTAACTTACACTGGAAGAAATAAGAAGTTCAGTTTTCGATGCGTACAGTTTGTTCACTGAGGAAGAGTTTTTCTCTATTACTTTTTACGTCTTTTCTATCGTTCTATCTTTCTCTCCCGCTCTTGTGCTCACACATTTTCTCTCTGTTTCTTTCGCTCTTTTTTTCTATTTCTTTTGGACAATCTGTTCCTACATACCAACAATGTGCGATCAATAACATTGCCCCCATTGAATGGGCGCTGGTCAAAACAAAACAACGCTACATATTTACATAATGGGACATTTATAGGCTACTCGTGATCACTCGCCAAATAAACTTTATTGACACAATCTCAATTAGTTTGTTAGCTGACATATCGTTTTGGACGATTTACAGCTATCATTTGCTAAGTACGAACGCAACGATAACACAAATTCGAATACAGCGATAAAATGACAAAACAATGGTTATAATTCCAACGAAGCAATAAAATAGCGCGTTTGCCAAATCTATAATCCTCACAAACACAAATAAGTGCTAAAATCTTAATTACATATTCCTTTCAGGAGAAAAATAAATAACAAATGCAACATAATTTAATATTCAAAATATAATCTGACTTAAGAATAATATCTGTTTCTGCTTGATATGTAGCCACTCGTTACCGTGCGACTGAAACCCATCAAGTCCTTCATATGTACAGATCACCAACTCGTCAAGTAGCACCACTGCCGATCCCTGCACTCTTTTTGGCACTTTCTATACGCGGGCAAAAACGGCGTAACTGAACCAGCCAGAGCACGTATCTGCACGACGGCTATCGTTTTATGAGAAAGTGGCCAAAAAGAGGGCGTGACATAAAAGTACTATCCAGTAAAAATTGCGAAAAGCCCTACTAACACTTGACTTCTGAGTCCTCATTTGAAGAGAATGCTTTATTAAATTGTGTGGCAGTGGTGCAACTTCACGCGGTCGTATTGATATTGGATATCAAAACGCACTTCACCCAAATGAGACATTAGTGCCTTAAACACTGCGCCAGTTAGGTAGCACTCCATCAGGGGCGCAATGTCAGCCTGGCAATGGCCTCGCACAAGGGGAAGTCGGCAAACGCAACAAACAAATACAACATAAACAATGAAACGACACAAACGGAATAAAAGTAACGATCGTAATTCAAGTTATTGTCAACGGAGCTTCACACAAGCTGCGACTGAAAAGTGAGAAAAAAGCGCAAAAACACCAACTGCGATGCTGAGACCTTGCAGCCTTAAACAGCACCCCTTTGCAATGTAAAGTTGACAGTGTGCAACCCGTTGGAACAGTAATACTGAAGACATATATATTCACGACTACGCAAATCTATCCGATTATACATTTCAGAGAAGAACCTTATCTAATAGGTTACACATCGCAAACATAGTTACCGATCCATTGGGTACTTCGAACATTTCATGAAATATTACGTTCCCAGGATTCAAACCCGATATTCGTACGTCAATATAAATTTTTAATGGAGACATGGGTAAAACCACGATGAGTAAATATCTTGGAAAGTGACCACTGTAGCAAAAGTTACATACTGAGCATTACTTATTCAGCTGACGTGCTGCCCATTTCCTTGTACAGAACAGTGCCCACCTATTTCGAAATGAAGTCAAAACTGGTGAAACGAATTGACTGTCCATTTCTTACATGGCTGTTCTCCTAAACCAGATACGGACCATATCCTCAAAAAATCGACAATCTTTACTAGTAAGCATACAACACACAATCACGCAAATCAATTCTTTTCGTGTTTTAATGGATAAAACGAAGCCAAAGTTCATCAAGTTCGAAAGAAAGGATCTTATTTCAAGCATAGCGCAATTCTTAAAAGTCTGATTCCTATAAACAATCTCATTCTTGCAGGCCTTTAGTAATAAAGAAATAGTAACATTTCAAGCCTCAATGCATTGCACAGGGCGCAGGGAGAGGGGATGAGAGATATTCACCGCAAAATGAACAATAGAATCAATAAGTCTATGAAAAGACTTTTTCCGTGGCTCGATTTTTGCTGTAAGTTTGCTTTTGCAGGAAGCCTCGGAAAGGGGGAAGGGAAGGGTCAACTGTTTTTCTAAGCACAGGAAATAGAAAAATAGCTTCTCGAAAGATGCTTGTTGTCTGGAAATAAACCACGGCTTGCTAAAAGCCATTCCAGTTGTATAAAACAAGAAGGCAAAATAAAAAGTACACTAATAAAATTTGAAAGGCCTAGTTGGCCTGACAGGAGATAACACCACTGAGGGTATAACATAGCACACATTCTCTCTCTCTCTCTCTCTCTCTCTCTCTCTCTCTCTCTCTCTCTCTCCATTTACTCAATTTTTCATTTAAACATTCTTTGAGTTGCTCTTGCGCGTAAAAGCTCAGACACACTACACATATATACACAAAACATTGACCTTGGTGTTGGCGCCGCTCGGTTTTAACCGAAGAAAAAGTCACATTTACAAAATTGTTTGAATGGTCGTGAATGGGGCAGCCTGGGAAAGCAGAGGGACACGGGGCGGAATTCAATTCGCAAAAGTTAAAACAAGCGGCTCTGCTCTTAGCTCGCTTTCTCATTTAGAATAATTTCGAAATCGCACTAACAACAGAAACCTCCCATCAAAGTAATTCCCTAATTTGGAAGTGACATAGGCCTAAAATTACAAATGACGAAAAAAAAAAAAAAAAAAAAAACACAACAATCTGATTTAGGATTTCATAGACGGGTTTGACAAAAATTGAGTGAAAAGCACTACAGCAGCAGCGACAGTTCTTGTCCCTCCAGTGGGCGCACGAACGCGCGGCTCCCCCAGAGTTGCCCCGCGGCGGCCGGTGGGGCTTCCGGCGGGAGGGGCGGGGTAAGCGGGGTAGGAAAGGGTCCCACCCCGGTGGCCGCGACCCCGCTGGGACCCCGACTGGTACACACAAACTCACCGCTAAGCGCTGGGCCTAGCAGTTGCAGTTGGGGTTCTGGGGTCCCTGAGGCTGCTCCGTCAGTCGGGTTCCTTTGCTGCCCGCGTTCATCAGGTTGGGGTCCGAATCGAGGCTCTCCGACATCTTGTCGCAGATGATGTCAACCAGTCGCTCAAACACGGACTAAGCGATCACAGAGAGAAAAAAAATTACCCCTCTCGTCGGAGGACGGGGTGCGCGCGCAGCGTTAGTGCTCGAGTACTCCAGTGCCTTGTGACTTACCTTAACTTTGATGTTCTCCTTGGCGGAGGTTTCAAAGAACTCAATGCCGAGCTGGTCGGCGAGCTGCTTGCCGCGCTCAAAGGAGATGACACGCTCCTCCTCCATGTCGCACTTGTTGCCTACAAGCACGACCTGGGCGTTGTCCCACGAGTACGTCTTGATCTGCGTCACCCTGTTGAGCAGAGAAAGACGGAAATTCGTAGCGAAGTGCGCCTATGTAGTGGTTTGTACCAATACGACAGTGACACAATACAATTGTTAATTATGGGGAATTTGAATTTACACATCACTCTTGTTGTGCGAACAAAATAAATTAACGAATGCGAACAATTAAATTCTTGAAAACGTCCTCTTTGTAAATTCATTATAATTTGACACGGTTTGACTGTACCGGTTGTATCAGAGAATAAACCCCCATGTTGCTGGCTAGCACACTCTCTATCGGGCCGCCAGGGGGGTCAATGCTATCTCACGGTCGAAGAGAGTACGGAAACCCACAGCACTAACGTGTCTCTGATGGCCCAGTATGATACCGTCGTAGAGGTCTCTTGATGAAAATTTACTAATTCTTTCGTGTTAAAATGCATTTTACAGGCGCAGTCCTTACCAGTCCTGCACGCTGTTGAACGACTCCTCATTGGTGATGTCGTACATGAGGATGAAGCCCATGGCGCCTCTGTAGTACGCCGTGGTGATGGTGCGGTAGCGTTCCTGCCCAGCGGTATCCTGTGTGCCACATCAGACTAGTGTCACTGCCTTTGTACATAAAGGAACTAAGCGTCCTCTTAGGTTAAGGAAAACAAAGTTACCCGCCATACTAACTTAATAAAACTAGGTTTAATGCAGAGGATATTTTAAATGCCAATTGGTAATAAAAACCAAAGACGAAACAAAACAATGTTTGCTTTATTTACTTTTAACCCAGTAAGCCCATTAAACTTACCCAAATTTGTAGTTTGACACGTTTGTCATGTCGAAATACTGTTTTGACTTTGAAGTCGATTCCTACGGTTGACACGAACGCTGACGTAAAGGAGTCGTCGGCGTATCGGAATAAAAAGGAGGTCTTTCCCACGGATGAGTTTCCGATGATGAGAAGTTTGAACATATAATCAAAGTTTTGGTCAGCAGCATCCTTCTGCCACTTTGGATCTTGGCCAGCCATCTGCAATCAAAGAGACGATGCGTCGGTTGCAGTCCGGCAGAGGGATAGGGTGGGGGGGAGAGAAAGAAAGCGGCAGTGGTTGAGCGCGGTCCGGACCGGGACTGCATCGAGCGCCTGGCGGGGTAGGCAACGCGAAGACAGCGGTGGCGTCGCATTGCCTACCTCCCGGGCGGCCGAGCCCTGCGGCCGCCAGGAGGGGTGGGGTGGCGGCGGCCGACTCTTCTCTGCAGTGGGGTCGGTTACGGACCACGCACTCGCCCCGCCGGTCCCGCCCACCCCGCCCCGCCCCACCCCATTCCCATTCTCAATCACGCACGTCAAAGCGCGGGCGCGCAAACTCCTACAGGCGGGCAATAACACATATCCGCGGGCCGCGGGCGGCTGGCCGGGCCGAGGCGGGGAGCGGAGTGGTGCGGAATATAGGTCAGTGGGTCACATTCCAGGGACAGAGGCCTCCTCCGGAGGAGCGGTGCGTGGTGCACGCCGCGGCTCGGTCGATTATCGAAACGGCTTTATGCACCCTCCCTCGATCCTCTGGTGGAGCAGACCACCCCCTTCCTCAACCCCCCACCCCCTCCCCTATCAGCCTATCAACCCGCCTCCTAGAACCGTCCCCTGTTTACAGGTTGCCCCGAAAAGTGGCGATGGTCTCCGGGGTGTCATCGAGGACGACCCGAGCCGCCCCGCCGAGCCACCATCGAGTCCCTCATGCGGCAGCGGCTACTGCACAGCAGCGATCAGAGGTTGGAGCGGCCCCCCAGCCAGCCCTCGCGGGGTATGTCGCGGAGGGGAGGGGGGAGGGGAGGGGCAGGGGCAGGGTGTTTACTGCGTGCTCGACCACTCCGAGGCACCGCGGGACACTCGTAAAGCGGACGGCCCGGAGGACCGCGACGACGGCACGGCTGCAAGGGCTGGAAATGGAAAGTGATCGGCGAAATGGTTCCACGGCGAGCGGGAAGTGATCGATACCGAGTAGCTGCGGGGGCCGCGGGGTGAAGCGGGGCGGCGAGGGGGGCAGCGAG